CATGAGTCCTAATAAGGAGTTATTTTCAGATTTTGAAAATGTAACTGGTGGAAAGGTTTTAATGGGTAATCACATGACATGTCAAGTAAAAGGTGTGAGAACTATCACTTTGAACTTAAAAGGAGATAATAAGTTGATTCTAGAGAAGATTAGATATGTTCCTGACTTGCAACGTAATCTAATCTCCTTAGGGGTTTTAGATGACCTTAACTATGATATTGTGATTAATAAGGGATACATTAAAATCTTGTGGGGCTCTCATTTAATTGTAGAAGCTACTAAGAGACATGGCATATACATTTTACAAACTAAACACTTTTTGGATTTCACTTTAGCAGTAATCTCAGTTCCAAATGACAAATCACAAATATGGCACAAAAGATTGGGTCATATTAGTGATAAAGGTTTTCAGATTTTGAAAAAGCAGGGTGTCTTTGGTAAAGATAACATTGAAAAACTAAATTTTTGTAACTATTGCATTTTAAGAAACATGATAGATTACCTTTTTTGCCTGAATGCATAAATTTGTCTCCATACTTGAATATTTGCATATTGATCTTTGGGGACCAGTATCTATGAGTACACATTCTGGTTTTAAATATTATTTGCTGGTTATTGGTGATTTTTCTAGAGAAAACTGGACTTTTATTTTAAAATCAAAATTAAACACATTTAATGTTTTCAAAAAATAGAAAGTTTTGATTGAGAACCAAACTGATAAAAAAATTAAAGTTTTAAGAACTGATAATGATTTTGAATTTTGCAATTATGAATTTAATGAATTGTGCAAATTATCTGGTATGCTGAGACACATAACTGTCACACACACATGCCACAACAAAATGGTTTAGCTAAAAAAATGAACAAAACCATTCTTGACAAAGTGAGATGCATGTTATTAAGGATCCGTTTAATTGCAAAGGTGGAAAATTGGTAGAAAAAAAATGTTTTACATGTAATTGAATTGTTTAGAAATTATTTTACTGTGAATTGTAATTAATTATGTTTGATTTGTATAATTTTTCACCTGAAAATATTGAAAGTTTGGTATTCATTTGATTTCGTTTTTTATGGAAATTGTTCACTAATGTGATAATTGTTTCTACCATTGGGTCTAGAATTTATTCCAATTGCTAAAAAAAAATTTCTAATTTTTTTACCATAATGAATATCATTCATTTGACTTTGTTTTACATGAAAATTGTCAATAAAAGTGATAATTTTTTTTACCATTGTATTTAGAATATTTTCCAATTGCCAAAAAAAA